GGGGGCAATTGCCCCCCTGCCCCCCGGCCCAATCCGCCCCTGGGTCAGACTAATCCAGCATGTTATTAATCTGAGTGCCCCACTCAATATGGCCGCAAGCGACGGGCATACTGAGTGTGGCAACTCAGATTAATAACGTCCAAAAGATGTGGACTGGGAGGGGTGCCTCTTTAAGACTGCTCTGACTTTAAGACTGCGGTGGCAGCGGGGAGAAGAGAACAAGAAGCTCGACTGACATAGTCTGTGCCTGCTTCGATCGGGCTCCTCGGCGGCCACGGCATTGGTGGGAGAGGAAGACTGCCGAACTGCAGTTGGCACGCTTCTGCTGCGCGGGAGAGAGAGCACCTGGAGCCGGCTGGACAATTATGAAACCTCACTGCTCCCCCCACCATCACCAGGAGAACAGGTCAAAGCAACTGTAAGTCCCTGTACTTTCTTTGTGACCTCTCCACTGAGTTACATACTGACCTCTGACTCTGCACTGTGTACTGACCTCTGTACTGTGCGTCACACCCTGACCTCTGTACTGTGCGTAAAAATGCACCTTTGCCTGTGTAGGCAAAAATCCAGGAGCCAGAGCATTGCATCATTGATCAACTAATTGTGGTTGCAATGCTTTACTGGCTTCAGTGCGATAACATTTTTTCTTTTATAAATAATGCATTTATTTTTTTAGTATTTAAAAAAAAAATTGATTCATTTTTTTTTTTAAAAGGGTTGTATTTTAGTTTTAAAGGAAAAAATGCCTGGAAAAAAACCCCCAATGCAGTCACCACATCAAAAGATAAAGGTCCCCCTTTCAATACTCAACATACACACTACAGGCCAAGTTAGGGGGTAACTCATAACTCAGGACGATCACCATGCCAAAGGATACATCAACTGCGGGGATTAGACCCTAAAATAGTTTGGCATACAAATAACACATTGATACTAAGAAACCATTGTTCCTACAATGCTTGGCTGGACGACTTTGTATTTATATTGGGGGCCTAAAGAGCTGGGATTACTTAACAAAGGTGGGTAGACAAACGACCTTTAGGTGAACGAGTTTGAAAAAAAAAATTGTTTTAAAAAAAAAAAAAAAAGATAAAGGTAAGCTGCAACACAGTACATTTTGGTTTTGGGTTTAGATACACTTTAAAGACCAGCTCTGGGCACAATAAACTTATTGCATTTTAGTAAGTTGCATTGCATAGTGACTTTGATGTAAAGCCACTTGCCATCATCAGACCTGCCTCCATCTCCCTGCAATTCCTCTGTATACATGTGGGTGGAAGTCCAGCTCCTGCTGAACTTCTGTGCCCACTGTTGCTGTAGCCCTGCAGTTCTCATAGACCTCAGCAATGCTGTGGCATTTCAGCCCCTCACCTCCTGGCCAATCACAAAACAGAACCTGGGGCCATTTGCTTTGTGATTGGCCAGGAGGAGAGGAGGATAGGAATGCCACAGCAGTGTTGAGGTCTATGAGAGCTGCAACACTACAGCCAGAGTGGGCACAGCAGTTCAGGGGTTTGTGGACTTCTAGACCAAAACTGAATTTTGGTAGAAGGTCTGATGATGGCAGAGAGCAAGGTCCCTCTGCAGCTACTAAAATGTAATAAGATTATTGTGCCAGCAGCTGGGCTTTAACTGTAAATCTTGACTTTTCCTGGAAAAGGCCCACCCCGCCCCACCCCACCTTACAAGTCTTCTCAATGCAATGTGTGGCCTTCCTGAGTAATAAGGAATCTCAGACAAAATCACCCTAATTGTAATGATTTTAGAATGTTGGGCATATTGTACATCATATATACATTCCCCACCTCTATAAAGTACACAAGGAGTCTCTTCAATGCCTGGTCCTGGCCATAGCAGAGGTAGCTGTGCGTGTAGATACTGTAATCAAAACCATAGAGTCTGAAAACCATCTCCGTGCTTTTGTCTTCAATGTCACCGGCGGGTTGAAAAGTCATTTGGGTAGAGGCTCCTCCAAGGTCCATGGCTCCAAACATCTGGGCTTGCTGGGGATGTATCCAGCTGTTTAAGTATGAATACTGGATGGGGATTTAAGAATAGCTTTAATAAAATATGAAAAATACATTAAAATGAACTTTAAACTACATTTTAATTAATAACCCATAATATGTATGTATTCATTGAAAATGTATTAATCTTGGTCTTTAAATAGCTTTTTGTTATATTTTATTATGTTTAGTAGAAAAAAAATAAGTTTTATTTTATTTTTATTGAATTACAGTGTGATTTTTTACTTGCATCACATACCAAACTGATAGGGTGTATAGTAAACTGTAGTTTGCTAAGTGGGCTGCAGTAGCACTCAAATTGTTTAAGACTAACCCCAACCTAACCCCAGGGGGATAGTGCAATCTAATCAAATCCCAAGGCGCTAGTGCAATTAAAATTGATCTAATATCATTTAATCCCAGGAGGTTACATAATCTAAACACAGGGCGCTAATATTATTACTATCACCATTAACCACATTCAACCGCAGGGGGAAGCATAATTTAACCCAGGGAGGCAGTATAATTATACCAGAGGTCAGTAATATAATTCAGTATAATTTATTTACCTTAATCTAACTTAATCTATTTAATTTAACATACAAGTTATTTAACGGGCCACTCGTGATCAATAAACCGTAGATAATAAAGCTACAGTTAAAGCTAATTATTTAAGCTACAGTTAAATAAGTAATCTTATGTAATCCCTAAAATACATTAAAAAGAAAAAATAAATAAATAAATAGTAAGGGTGGAATAAAATAATGTCTTCCATTAATGGGTATGCAACCAAGTGCATGCCATGTGCAATGTATGCGTTCCTTGAACATGCGTTCGAGGGGGAATACATTTGTGCTAGATGTGAGCGAGTTGTCTGTTTAGAATCCCAGATTCTGGATCTAAGAACCCGTAATATACAGGGGTACAAGTACTCCTAGGAATGAGATCCTATAGGTTGGACTTGATGGACTAATGTCTTTATTCAACCTCAAATACTATGTAACTATGTAACTATGTAACTATGTAAATATGAAACACTGCTTGTTCATATTTCATATTACCATTTTCAGCCAGCAGATGGCGAGCTCTTTGCATAGTTTGTTTTTCTAATGTAAACCTTCCATTCCCTTAAATTATTAGTAAATTCAGTTGGAAAAGATCAAAGAATTATATGCAAAATTATTTTCTCAAGCTCTACTGAAACCTATTTAAAAAAAAAAAACTAAACCAAGCTTTTATAATCCCTTTTTGGCAGTTTAGGTTTCCCTTCTGTGATCCACTGTCCCACAGGCTGCTCTTATTGGGGAGGGTGCATTATGGTGGCAGGGCAAAGCAGACCTATAGGACCTAGGCTGGGGAGAGGGGGGGTGTTAATGAGGGCTAAGCTGACTATGGGAGTACAGCTACGGTATGTTGTACGTCAGCATGGCTTCCTGCAACTCCTAGATCACGCTGACCACGCCGGTATGGATATGATTCCTTTTTTGGCGTGGTCACAGTTAGATGATCACCAGGTATTTAATTGGAAAGAGGACTGCAGGGATATAATATGCAACAGGCCATTGTCTTTTTATAAATAAAGGATAATACACTTCAATTAATGTGGCAGCCTCTGAGCCCACACATAGTCCTAGCCAAAGATGGAAGGAGGTGAGGTTTTGTCTACTGACCTGTATGAAGGTACCTAGTAGGTAGTTAACTGTGATCCAGCCAAGTGACCCTTCCTCCGTGCCATCTAGTATCCTTGCTCCCTGGAAATCCACTGGATATGTCCCGAGTGTTCTTGACACTGCGTCGAAGATGTTCTGAGTTTTGGTTTCATTCTGCAGCCTGAAAAATAGAATAAGGCCATACGTACACAGCTGATCTATGGAGAAGGCTTGTTTTCAGACATATGTAGGGAAACAGCATTTATAAGGATTTTCCTCCGACATCGTCACTACATAATTACATGCTTAGATGCTGTTCAAGTGAGATGAAAGATGCAATTATTGGATGGCTACCTTGGTACATGCATGCAACACCTGCATATGACAACTGAGTTCATTAGCTTAGCCTGCAATTTACGGACACATGTAAATGAGTCAGAGCAGTGAGATCCTTGCCATTGGCACGATCATAGGCGTGTGCACAGGGTGTGCCGGGTGTGCCTGGGCACATCCTAATCACCCCGAGTAAAACAGCGGGCGCCATATTTTTAGTCACTGAGCCAGTGGAGAGATCACAAAGATCTCTCTGTGACCAGCTTAGCGATACAGAACTCAGCAACACTTGCCACTTACATTTCTCACATAACATCCGCAGTCCTCGGTGCCTGGAAAGCTGCAAGAGAAGGTGGCTGCGGCTTTACAGGCTTTCCATCTAATCTAATATCTCTCTTATGATTGACGTGTCACTCTCTTGATTCTGCAGTGTTTTGCAATGCCTCGATCATCAAGATGGCGAAGGAGCAACACATTCAAGCAGCCGGACGCTGACAAGTTCTACAAAGCAACCGGACTGCTGGAGTCACAGAGGCCTCATGTGTGAATCAGTGAGGTTGCCATTGCTGAACTCCTCTTTTGAGAATTCCCTGGCTGTCATGTCAATGCATGCCATGTTAAGGAACTTTGACACTTTTCTGACACTCATTTACAGCATGCTTATTCTGGGTCTGTGACTCACTTAACAGTACTTAAAGCTGAATTCCAGCCCCAAAAAAACAACATAAAAATAGCCAAGTAAAAGATAAAATGACAAAGTCAGCTCTTACAGCAATATTCACCTTTCTTTCAGAGATTTCCCCCATAGTCCTTTTCTTCTTGTCCAGAGTCTGATAGCCAGCATTTTTCAATCCATTTCTTAAAAGGCCAGGTCGCCCTGGACCTGCCCCAGCCTGTGACTGGACAGTGAAAGGAGAAGCAGCACAGTGATGAGCTCATCTTTCTGTCACTCTGCTTTCTTCGATCAGCGTGCTACTTGTTGAACTGGCTGGCTTCTTGTACTGCTTCATCCTCTTACACTCCAGCTCTGCTGTACAGGGGCTGCAAGAGGCTGATTTCAGGTCAGATTCAGCTACTGACACTGCTTGCATTTAAATAAATGTAATGATGTATCAATGATTACAGAGCTGCATTAATTTGTATTGTTTATACCTGTTCAGTTTTAAATTGTATATGTAGCTAATACATTTTTTTTTTTATTTCAAAAGATTTTTTTTATTTTACTTTTCATATAAACAGGTTACAAGTACATTAAAACACATGTCACTTGTCATATATCGTGAATCGTAAACGGAACATACTTAACCCCTTCATGACTGAGGCCCTTTTTTCCATTTTTGCACCCATGTTATATTCCACATTTTAGGCCTGAAAATGACGTAAAACCCCCCAACATTATATATTTTCTGAATGCCAAGAAAAAGTGATTGAGGGACCTGGGGGTCATTAACAATCGACCTCTAAGGTGGTGTCAGCAGTTACAAGGAGATTCAGATAGACTAAAAAATAAAAAAAACATATAAAACATAAACAAGGCAAGTAGACTGGAAATAACTTTGCGCCCCCGGTTTGATGTGCCAATATGGAACCCACACTGTGGCCATAGGATCCGTAGGGCAAGCCACCTCCAAAAGAGTCCAATAGTGAAACCACGAAACAGCAAAGGATCGCAGGAACAAGGAATTCAGAAGAGACCAGGAGCCGCCATAGGAGTATCCATAGGAGTCCCAGTTCAAGGGATGGTGATGGTACGGTGTGGACAATAGGCAGTCCAACAATCGGGGACCCACACCAATACGAGATGACGTGAGCAGCGTCAACAACTGTGAATGGAGAAACCGAGCTCAACAACTGGTGAAAAGATGAGAAATCCAGATTGTGCAATCATCTGAAGGAATCAGCAGGCCTTGGGGAGTCAGGCGCCATCCTAGAGGTCGAAGGTGGTGCAGGTAAGTTGGCCGGGGGACGGGTAGGCCTCTCTCTCCCGGAGCGTTGTGTCGATGTGGTGGGACAGTCCTCCGCGGCCACATCTGTACGTCCCAGTAGGTGCAAGGAGTCCATGCATTCCCGCATTTCATCCACAGTGTTGCAGGTATAGGTTCTGCCATCATAGAAGAACTGCAGTTTAAAGGGGAAGCCCCAACGGTACCTGATCTTCTTGGCTTGGAGCACCTGGAGCAAGGGTCGGAACTCTCGCCGTCGAGCTATTGTAGCTGGTGAAAGGTCAGAGAAGATCTGGTTACGGAACCCCTGGAATTGTAATATCCCGGCCTCTCTGGCTGCTTGGAGTATTCGTTCCTTAGTGTGGTAGAAGTGAAGACGAACAATAATATCCAGGGGAGGGCCCTCCGGTGTGCACCTTGAGAGTGCCCTGTGGATCCTATCGAACTCCAACCTCTCCAAGGGGATTTCAGGGGCCAATTCCTGGAACAACGCGGTGATCGTTGATTGCAGGTCCAGAACCGACTCCGGGAATCCTCTTATACGCAGGTTCAGTCTGCGGTCCCGGTTTTCAGAATCTTCCAGCTGTGCTAGGAGCGATAAGTTCAGATTACGTAGCCGTTCCAGGTCATCCTCATGCCCTTCCACTATGGTGGTAATGTCATTGCAGCGGGATTCAAGCGTGGTAGTGCGTCTGCCCACATCCCTAATCTCTTTTATAAGCTGAGAGGTAATCTGTTTAGATACCTTATCCAGAGCCTTATGCAAGGTGGTTTCCAATTGGGCCAGCAGGGAAGGAGTGACCTCCGGGTCCGCTTGGTTGGTCTGCGGGCTGTCCTCCAGGGGATCGGGAGGTTCACTAGAGGAGAGGGAATCTTCACTTTTCTGCGACAGCGCCTGCGCCATCTTGTGGGCCGCTCGGCCCAAAGCCTCGTGGAGCGTTGACTGACTCAGCTTACCACCCCGACTTCTAGTGCAGGACATGGTGGTATTAGTCTGTCGGCGTGGGGAGCCCGGTTCCGTAGGTAGCTGTCAATGTCCCGTTAAAAGGCTGCTATAGGCTAAATAGGTCGTCGCCTCTCCCGTTCCGGCACGGAGCTGATCAGTAAGCGTCCATCTTGGTCAGCCTCGCGCATGCGCCCTCAGCTAATACATTTTTTAACATTTTGAATGGAGTAGGAAAGGAATAAACCCTGTCAGGTTTTTTTGTGTGCTCTGTGTACCAATAAGGAGGATTCCACTTCCTGTCCCAGAGACACAAAAGGAAATGAGGGGAAAACTTCCAAAGGTAGGGGAATTCCCCTCCTAGACAGTTGTCATTGGAACATTGGATCATTGTCCTTTTTGGAAGATTTCCCCTCAGCTCTTGTTCTGGTGACATTAAAATTTCGGATTTCCCATCACTTTCTGTTTCAGTGAGAATGGTGGTGTCACTTTAAGAGTTGTTACTGATGTCTAAATAAACATATGGTTTGTATCTGGGTGTCCATCAGTTGTGCTTACAGTCTGTCACTCCTGTTTGCTTTCTACAGCACGGAGTCTCTGTTTGCTCTACATCTGGTTGTCGAGAAGACTGCAGTCTATTTTCCTGATGTCAAAGGTACATATTCTGAGAGGTAATTAGCAACATGGCATGTTTAATAAAGCACCAAATTTGCTTGGTTTAGAACCTGACTTTACTTTCTGAAGGCAATCCTTTGAAGCCTCTTCGTTCTGTACGCAGCACCTTTTTTCCCCGCTGTCTTCTGGTTTATCACATGACAACCTGGATCCTTCTTCCTCTCCTGGAGGCGGCTCTCAATGATGCAGACATTGTTTGTGCAGTGAGCCCAGGCTGAGGTGGTGACATACCTCCAAGGGGAGTGTCCGTGACACCCTGGGCTGAAAGGAAGTAGGTTGAATGAGGTTGTGTTGAGGACATGGAGGGCAGTGTTGTTGTGTTAATAGTACTTTAAAAGAGAACTATGGCTCAATCATTTTTGCCATAGTTCTCTTTAGGGTGACAGGAGGAGATTTACCATCTCCTCCTGTGACACAAAACTCTGCAGATAGTAGGTTATTGTCTTCTATATGCTGACAGAGCAGAGCCACGCTGTGGCCGGAAAAGATCTCGACAATATTGTCGGGATCCACACCGATGCCTGATTGACAGCTGGCTCTGGTTCTAGCCCGTCTCCTCTCCCGTCTGTCCATCCAGCCAGTGCTGGAAGAATGGAGAGAGGAAAGGGGAATTCCTGCGGGGAGCAGTAACTGAAAGTCACCTGTCTCTGCAGGGAGAGGATCGGGAACTGAGCGATCAGCGTTATGTGATCGCTCAGTTCTCGATCAATAGAGCTGATGTGTGATAGTTTTGTTGTCACACGTGGGCTCTAATTATGGAGATGAGTGTAAATTCACTCTCCTCACGGTTCTCCTTTTAAGAACTTTTTCTTGGCAGCACAGGATGGGGAATAAGATAGATTTAAAAGTATCCTGGAGTTTGGTTTTAACTAGCTGGAGTCAGTCTGCCCATTAGGCTGAACACCTCAAGATAAATTAGTTATTTTTAACTGTGTCCATTATTTTATCCTAACACTGTTCAATTCTCATTAAAAGGTATTTTGGAATTAGGGAGAACTGAACTGTAAAAATGAATCATTACTTCGTCATGAAAAGTATTATTTTATCCCCTCCTTGTCAGTCTGAACAGGGGTGTTCGATTCCTATCACCTGACGCCCGGGACATGAAGTTCTGGGCGCCCGGCAGGCGTTTGCTTTTACATTTAACCCTGCTGCAATGTAGAGCAGAGGAACCGCGGCTTGTTTTGTACAAAAGATCTGGGCAGCTATACAGCCACCCAGATCACTTGTTGCAGCCTGCTTACGCGGAGGAGACCGGAAAACATCAGTTCTCTGGTCTGCTCTGTG